TTTTTCAGTGAACAGACTTGGATTTCAAAACTGTAATATGCATTGCATTAATATTATCTTTTGCAAAACAATTTGCTTTACTCGCGAGAAAACATTTGACATCAGGAAAGTTTCTACAATGCGGAGTTTGATAGAAATAAGATATAGAGCGCCCGAGTACTCCTTTGAGCAGGGGCAAGTCACGTCAGGTAAACGTAAGCAGAGTCGGTCATCCCTAGATGCAGTTAATCTGGGGCAATCAGGTCGAAACTCGTCAAACCACTCGAAGGCCAGTCGAAGACGCCATTCCCTAAAGTTGGTTAATCTGGGGCAATCAGGTCGAGATTTGATAAATCTCTCGAAGTCAGCCAGGGGCACTTCTCTACAAATCAGCCAACCAGGGGCAAATCACTTCAAAGCTGGGGCAGGTCACCCGGAGAGCACAAAGACTATCCTTGTCCAGAAAGGAAATCAACTTGAAAGCACTTCTTCGGGGTTCGAAGCGCTGAGGCAGTTCATAGCTAACCATCAGGGTACCGAATTCCAGGTTTCCTTTCGAGGAAGGTTTCTACAAAAGTCCCACAGGCTGGGGCAAAATCGTAAACAAAGGAGATGTGTTCCTCTCCATATCTTCAAGAGTTTATCAGAGTTATAGAAGCAGATTTGGGTTTATTTTCCCAGCAGTAGGGCGAGCGCTGTATTGTTATCCCCACAAAGTCTAAATGGTTGACTCCTTCCCCCTCAGAGTCTAGCCAAGCCAGCGGAGTTAATTTCCTTCCCCACAAAATGGAGCTGACTCAGAGATCGTTCATCTCCATCCCCAGCAGAGAGAGTGTGGGATAATCCTTCCAGTAAATCTTATTCAACATCCCTAGCAGATAGTGGATTCAATCTCCGACAGAATGGAGCTATTCCTCAGCAGTCCGCCGTGTTTCCCCAGTAGAGTTATTCTGGCTAATCATTCATAACTGATTTCCCCGGTAGAGTGGAGTTGTTGCCTCCGGCCAAGTTGCTTGATCCCCAGAAAAGTTGTAGGCTGATAGGCCATCCGGGACGTCTTCCGCAGCAGAGTTTGATTTGGATCCCCAGCGGTTTGGTTTGTTCTTAACAGAGCGGTTTTACCCAGAAGTTTTTCTCGGAGGCCATCCACGGCTTGCATTCCCCAGCATGAGTTTATTTGCGCTAAGGCGTATCTAGCTCTGACTCAACGGAGTTGGCTCTTTCTCTTTAGCATTTATTTTGCTAAAATGGTTCATTTGCATTTACATGCGTGCATAGCATCCACCCAAATGCGAAGCATTTCCATTTCGTATGGAGCATTTCGTCATATCCAAACATATGCATGCGAGACATAAGCCAGGTCGTTGCCCTTTTGTTTCAAATGAATCTCGCAGATGATTAGTATCTTTGCCCGTGTGTTGGCTAGACCCCAGCTCATGGTGTTTCCCCAGCAGAGTTATTTTGCGACTATCACCAATGGATGGTCTTAATTTCGTTTGAATCTTGTTGCTCGCTTATATTTAGCGAAGGCTTGGCGGCAATGTCAAGTGATTTATTGCTTCAACGGCGATGTTGAGAGGTCTGTTTTGACGGCGATGTCAAGTATTTATATTCTTCAGCGGCGAGGTTGGATGTTTGTTTCTGGCGGCGATGTCGGAGTAATTTGTTTATTCAGCGGCGAGGTTGGATGTTTGTTTTTGACGGCGATGTCAGATAATTTGTTTATTCAGCGGCGAGGTTGGATGTTTGTTTCTGGCGGCGATGTCGGAGTAATTTGTTTATTCAGCGGCGAGGTTGGATGTTTGTTTTTGACGGCGATGTCGGATAATTTGTTTATTCAGCGGCGAGGTTGGATGTTTGTTTCTGGCGGCGATGTCGGAGTAATTTGTTTATTCAGCGGCGAGGTTGGATGTTTGTTTTTGACGGCGATGTCAGATAATTTGTTTATTCAGCGGCGAGGTTGGATGTTTGTTTCTGGCGGCGATGTCGGAGTAATTTGTTTATTCAGCGGCGAGGTTGGATGTTTGTTTCTGGCGGCGATGTCAGATAATTTGTTTATTCAGTGGCGAGGTTGGATGTTTGTTTCTGGCGGCGATGTCGGAGTAATTTGTTTATTCAGCGGCGAGGTTGGATGTTTGTTTTTGACGGCGATGTCAGATAATTTGTTTATTCAGCGGCGAGGTTGGATGTTTGTTTTTGACGGCGATGTCAGATAATTTGTTTATTCAGCGGCGAGGTTGGATGTTTGTTTCTGGCGGCGATGTCGGAGTAATTTGTTTATTCAGCGGCGAGGTTGGATGTTTGTTTTTGACGGCAATGTCAGATAATTTGTTTATTCAGCGGCGAGGTTGGATGTTTTTACCGACTTAATGTCGAGGCCTGACCGTGAGGTCAAATGCTTTTACCGATTATTTTAAGAATTGTTGGCAAAGTCAAAACTGTTGGAAATGACGGCGAAGTCAGAAGATTGTTTTAAGAGAATTGACGGCAAGGTCAGATGTTTACTTGATTTACGACTGACGGAGAAGTCAGAAGACGATTTTAAAGGAAATTTTGACGGCGAAGTCAGAAAATGTTGTAAAAATGACTTTGAAGTCAGAAGATTATTTTGAGGAGCTGACGGCGAGGTCAGACCTTTCATTTAATATGGGTGCCTGGCGGCGATGTCAGAAGTTCGTTTCGCGGTTGTCAAATTTCCGGGTTCTTTGGTATTAAACCGTCTTTTACCTTTGAATGCTTGAAAGTCGTTCACTTTTCAACCCTTCAGGTCCAAGACACTTGAATAGGGGCAGCTGTTGCACCCCAAAATTTGACCAACCTCTTCTTTACTTGGTTTATGTTTCATTTCATTGTTCTAGCATATTGCATTACATAACATTCTACATTTACAGGGGATCAAGTGTTTGTCTGTGCACCACTCAAGAGGAAAATCTTTATTGGTTTCGAGCTCGAGCAAAGGCACTGGTATAAACCATCAGAAGACTGTCAAGGGGTCCATAGGGTTTTATCATTGGTGTGAGCATGAGGTAGAAGTTTGTTGAATACCTCAGAGGTCATGGAGGAGTGGAAATGGTCACTCGGTTCATCTAAACAATGCTTAGGCAAAAAAGGATGAAATTAGGGTTTCAATTTTAATCAGGATAAAACTTGTTATCAGATTGGGAGTGTGAGGTGTGGTTTGGGCATTCAGTGGAAGTTTGATCTAATCTTGATAAAACAAGTGTTTGGTTTCAGTATCATGTTGTCAGATGGATAATCATCAGAACTCAGGATTGGGTAAAGTGGCAGTGTAGTTATCAGCCTGGGCTAAACTTATATGTTTCATGGTGGAGAATCATATGGAATCTGTCCCCCTCCAGTTAAGATTTTATGCAGCGCATTGTGATTCCTTAAGATCAAAACAGGGTCATTTGGTCCATAATGTCGTCCAAAAAGATTAAAAGTGAGTTTTGTGTTTCGTCACAATTCAAAGGGGGCTTTAAGTTCAAGATTATTTCAACTTTATTTTTTTGGTTTCATTGATTCAAGATTATAATCCATTCCATATTTAAGAATGACTCATTTTTGGGTTGAATGTGGTTAACATAGAAACCAAATTTTAATTCATTCATCTCGAGTTGGATTTCAAGTAAGATGGAAATGGTTTTAAGTGTACTCCATTTAAGTTGGTAAATCAAAACTAAGGCACAAATAGCACATTCAAAGTCCATTCCCAATTATGCAAGAATTTGTTTTACAACGGATGCCCATGGACCATAGTATGTTTGTGATGATAAATCAATTTACAAAGGAAAAAAATATGAGATACAAATGACATTTGGAAGTACATTGCAATTGCAACTTGTAACAAAAGATCATTACAACAAGTGCCAAGAAATAATAATAAGAAAAGGCTCCAGGGTGATGCTTCACGCTAACTTGCAAGCATGACCAAGCAAGAGACCTTCTACCCATGTGGCATGTGGTTCCCACCTTTCTTCAGCCAGCAAAATCTGTACTACCAAGACTATTTTGCGACAAGACCATTGCCAAAATGCAGAAAGCTACAACAACAAAGTAGCTGCTTTCTCTATTGTGACCGTGCTACTATTTTCGTGCCTATGTTACACAACATCCGACTACTTTGATGAATAAAATCACCAAAATGTGAAACATGTACCCTGCACAAAAACAGACAAGTCAACTTTGCAAAACCTCAAAAGCCACAACAAAACCGTACCGTCAAGAAAACATGCCGCTTGCAAAGGGTCTTGTTGGACTTTTGCAAGAGGCGAAACAAGAAGTTCCTTCATGGTTAATCCAATATTCCCAGTCTTCAGCACCAGGTGGACGTGGTAGCTCTGGATCTCAACGGTCGCCTTGGAGAGGCAATTACGGTGGGCGCGATTTCCGGACTGCAGCAGAACCTGTAAAGGTGGAGAGTTACAACAACTACAACAGTAGTTACAGTAATTATGGTGATAATGGTTTCAATAATGTTCAAGAACAGGTGCAGAATTACAACTACAACAGTACCTATAGCAACGGAAGAGACCATACTGCCAACACTTATACTGATACATCTTTAGACATCCAAAACTCTAACAACAATGCCACCTTTGACAGCACTAATACAGAAATTGCTGGTGGATACAATTATCCTGATGTTGGTTTGTGTGAAGGCAGTGATGGCATAAATGGGCCATGTGGGTATGCATCTGTTGTGCCCACTGGATGGGACTGACTTGGCTAGTGTCTTGCTCGTTGCATCCTTTTTGCTATTGATTTTGATGGATAAGGTAACCATGCATTCAGTAATGCCGAAGAGCAATTAGCTAGAGATCCCTAACTTTAAGAAAAGGACAAAATCACTGCTGCAAGGACTGTACCGACCTGGACAAACCTGCAATGAAAAAGAAAACCCACAAAAAAAAACAACCTGAAGTAGTTCTGCTTACCACCAACTCAACTCTCATAGGGTTTCCAGATCAGGCTGAAGAAGTGTTGGACTGAACTTGCTGGTTCAGGTGATATTGGATGTGATGAAGCTTAAAAATTGGTTTGCAAGTGTTTTGTTGCTAACTAATGTTATGCTAACCACTACATTAGGTGCATTTGTGGGGGTGAACATTGGCACCGATGTCTCTGATATGCCATCTGTTTCAAATATAGTTGCTACTCTTAAAGCTCATCAAATTACTCATGTACGTCTTTACGATGCCAATGCGCACTTACTGCAAGCCCTTTCAAACACCAGCATTGATGTTATTGTTGGTGTCACAAACGAAGAAGTACTCAGAATTGGAGAATCTCCTTCGGCAGCTGCTGCGTGGATAAATAAAAATGTAGTTGCTTATGTACCTTCCACCAATATCACGGTAATAGCTGTTGGGAGTGAGGTTCTTTCCACAATCCCAAATGTTGCTCCTGTTCTTGTTCCTGCCTTGAATTCTCTGCACAAAGCTCTGGTTGCGGCAAACCTTAATTTTCGAGTCAAGGTTTCGACTCCACAATCTATGGATATTATCCCTAAGCCTTTTCCTCCTTCTACTGCCACCTTTAACTCTTCGTGGAACTCTACAATGTATCAACTCCTCCAGTTTTTGAGAAACACAAATTCCTCTTTCATGTTAAATGCGTATCCTTATTATGGATACACTAAAGGAGACGGCATTTCCCTATTGAATACGCTCTTTTCCGACCCCTTCCCTCGGTGAAGCAAATTGTTGATCCAAACACACTATATCACTATAACAGTATGTTTGATGCTATGGTGGATGCTGCCTATTACTCTATAGAAGCGTTAAATTTCAAAGATATATCCGTTGTTGTCACGGAAACAGGCTGGCCATCTTTTGGTGGAGCAAATGAACCCGATGCTACTGCAGAAAATGCTGAGACCTACAGTAATAATATGATCCAGCGGGTCCTGAATGATTCCGGTCCACCTAGTCAGCCGAATATACCAATTAATACATACATATATGAATTGTTTAATGAAGACAAGAGAAACGGACCTATATCAGAAAAAATTGGGGCATTGTATTTACTAATGGAAGTGTTGTTTATCCTTTGAGTTATGGCGATGCTACTGATCAGACAACTGGAAACTCTTCGGGAGTATTTTGTGTGGCTAAAGATGGAGCAGACACTGATAAGCTGCAAGATGGCCTGAGCTGGGCTTGTGGACAAGGCGGAGCAAACTGTGCTCTTATTCAACAAGGGCAGCGATGCTATCTCCCCAATAGTGTGAAAAGCCATGCCTCTTATGCTTATAATGATTATTATCAGAAAAATCAAGGTGTTGGTGGAACATGTGACTTTGACGGTACCGCTGAAATTACTACCCATGATCCAAGTTATGGGTCATGTAGATTCTCCGGAAGCTCCGGCGCCGGAGGAGTGAGTTTACCGCCTACGGCACTCGGACCTTTAAGTCCCTCTGGAGAAAGTATGAACTTGCAAGTCTCTGGCCTCCAGTATTTGGTATCTGCAATTGGTGTATTTTTTGCTCTAATGATTTAATGACCAGAGGAAAGGTTTATGCACTCTTTAAGATTACAATTCAATTATTAGCTAGAATGTAGCTCCAGGCATTTTGAATAGTTTGATGGCAACCCTATTTCTGATCTTTTGGCCAATGTAAAGGAGCTTTATGGCCTTGATCATGAGGTTATATTTCGCAATGCAACCGTGTCTTCAGGAAATAGGGCTCAACCTTTAACTCTCGGAACTTCTACTCAAATTGGTGTCATCCCGACAGATGGAATACCTTCATTGTTGAAGGTCTTATTTCCAACACTTTGCAAAGGATTACCAGTACGAATTTACGTGTGTTTCTGCAGCGACAGACCCACTAAGATTCCAGTTGCAAAGCCTGCTACACACAATAGCCAACAAAAAACAGCACAGCCCACAGACAATACCCTGCTGCAAAACAGCCCCACACCAGACAAACAGCCATGCCAGACAAGCTCTGCACCAACTGTACCGGCCTGCTGCACTCTGCTACACAAGCATACTCTGCTAACAACAACAGCCTGTAAAAAAAAACCATCCCTCAAAACACAATAAAACCACCACTTGCATAAAACACTCACAACACATCTTGAATCATTGACACAAACTACACTTCAAGAATATAAACCATCACTCCTTACTCACAGTAACAGACTCCAATCTCCTTAACATACCACCATTCCTCCTTAGAACTTCATCAACAAACTTCAATTACCCATTCACCAAAATCCAATCCTCACTGTTAACCTTGCCAAGATAACACCCTCATATCACAACTCATAAACCTTTATCAAGTTTCTACCATTACCATTCAGCTTTCCAGACACACAACAGCACAAGCTGCAACACAAGTGCACTACGTCAGGTTACATCACAAGCTCGACAATAACACGACGCTCTCGACGGGCCCTTCTATTCAGCACAATCATAACGTTTGAGTCATACACAAAGATTCAACAATTCAAATCCTTCAAACATCCTCCAATAAACTTCAATAAATCACCCAGAAAACTCCATTAAACCCACAAAGCCATAATAGAACTTTCATCGAACACATGGTGAGCGACTTGTGTCTCGGTTCAGCACCTTCTTCCATTAATCTCCACTGTTGATTCTTATTTTCTTCAAACCTATTCTTTCAAACCAAAGCGGTTATCTTCTCAATCCGTCCGCCTCCTTCAAGCTTCAACCTCTCAACTCAGCTTCAAACCCTCCGATTTCAATACCATCCGAAAACCCATTTGCATTGAACCAAAATTTGAGAAGAATGGAGAAATTGAAGAATCGAAACTGGAGATGAGATCTCTGAGGGATTTCAGCGGTTCGAGCTTTACAAAGACGTTTATGCCACGAGGTCCAAGTTAGATGCACTCTCCTCACCAACCTCCTGTTTCTCTCTCGTGCCCTCCATTTTCCCTGGACGTTTATTTGGTTGGGTTGGCTAAGTCCATTTAGTCAACCGTGTTCTCCTTCTGGATCTGTACCCTACCCTCATTCTCCGGTTCGTACCCCCTGTTCCTTTATATTTTATTTTTATTAGGTAAATTATCACTATTATTAGTTATGTACATATTATATTAACCGTTGTTTATAGATTTTATTTTGTTTTAGTTTTTTTTAAAACAGTTTATAATATATTTTTCTAAAAAAGGGATTTGAATATAGTTTACATATATTATTTATTTTTTTTCTAAGTTATAGCTTTATCTATTTTCTCTTGGAAATTTTAAAGATTTGTTTAGGAGTTAATCTTATGTTCTATTTGTTATTGGACATTTTTGTCCCGTTTCATCTGTGTTGGTCGATGACGAGACCTCCGTAAATCGGTTACTAAGTCAATATATTGATAAATATCGTTGGATCCGAGACCACCTTTTTTCCCTCTTCATTTCTTGTCCCGCCTCGATTCAAAACTTTGTCAAACAATTTTCAAAATCAAATTATCTTTGTATTAAATTAAAAAGAGGGGATTAAGTGTAGACTTTCTTCCTCTCCGAGTGTCGAGATGCTCACTGTAGTGTGGGTGGTTTAGACACTCGTCTTTCAATACGAAGACGCTTCCACCCCTTTCCCTCCTAAAACCTCGGTCCCGTGCCGAGTGTATCTTCGAAAACATTTTTAAAATCAATTCCTTGTATTGAATTAAAAAAGAGAGGATTGGGTGTAGACCTCTTCTTCTCCGAGTGATGGGATGCCCACTGTAGTGAGGGTGGTCTCGATGCTCGTCTGTCAATACAAAGACGCTTCATCATTTCCTCATAAAACCTCGGCCTCGTACTGAGTATACTTTCAATAATAAATTAATTTCTCTTTGTATCGAATTAAAGAGAGAAGATTGGGTGTAGACCTCTTCTTCTCCGAGTGATGGGATGCCCACTGTAGTGAGGGTGGTCTCGACACTCGTCTTTCGATACGAAGACGCGACTTTATCCACCATCTTGTTTTCACAACTTCCTTCCACAATTTTCACACCTAAAACCTCGGTCCTGTACCGAGTGCATTTTCAAATCATTTTCATAACAAAAACTTGAATGGTCGTGGAGTGGTTAGGCGTAGGCCTTCTCCTATCCCGAGTGCTGACGTTTACCGTAGGGTTCTCTGTCGCAAAGCACTTACCATTCAAAACCAAAAACATCTTTAATAAGAGAACGAAGTTCTCTTTGCATTGAATTAAAGAGAGAGGATTGGGTGTAGACCTCTTCTTCTCCGAGCATAGGGATGCCCACTGTAGTGAGGGTGATTTCGACGCTCGTCTTTCAATACGAAGACGCCTCGTTCACCACACCCTTTTATAACAAAAAACTTTGAGACAAAGAATTGGGTACTACCCGTAGGGGTTACTATCCGAGGACCTGTCTCGCCCCCCTAAAAAACAATCCAATCAATCAAACGTGACTTCTTGCCCCGCGTGGCGAAAACTAATCAATCTTTCAAAAAGGATATGTTACGTCCGTTCTACCGCAAACAGGTAACGCCTAAGTCTCCAACGAGCGAGCAGCAAAACACCTAAACTGCTAGAATGTGCACGATAGCATCGTCTACTAGTACACCCCGCTTTCCCGCAAACCGTAGGCCGAACTACGGCTGCTCTGATTTCTCATACCAGATGAGAATACGTAGGCACAAGGGTCACAATCCTTGGCGAGCACTTTCCCCCCCTATATCTGTAGTTCCCCGAACTACGTCGACTCTGATTTTCTCATATCTGTTGAGAATACGTAGGCCTAGGACCGCGAAGTCCTATCGAGTCCTTTCTTTCCCTCGTCACCTCTCTTTCCCCGTTTCTAGACCTTTCTCTCTATCTCTTAGAACACTCTTTTATAGCATAATATTTTAGCAAATAAATTCACACATCGACAAACAAAAGGTTCCCATCGAGTACGATGGATGCGAGGGGTGCTAATACCTTCCCCTCGCATAACCGGCTTCCGAACCCGTTCATGGTTGCGAGACCATCTTATCCATTCTTTTCTTAAGGTTTTCTCGATATTTTCCTTTCCCCTCATGGGATAAATAAAGTTCGGTGGCGACTCTTCTGTCCTTCCTTTTCGCCTCCCCGTCGTTGCGCGATGCATTTTTTCGAGTAGCGACACTACGGAACCTTTTGTAGCTTATTGTGATGCTTCCTTGACAGGTTTGGGTGGTGTGTTGATGCAAGATGGAAAATTTGTGGCTTATGCTTCGAGACAGTTGAGAGTGCATGAAAAGAATTACCCTACACATGATTTGAAATTAGCGGTCATGGTGTTTGTTTTGAAGATTTGGAGGCATTATCTTTAGGGTGCAATATTTGAAGTTTTTAATGATCACAAGAGTTTGAAGTATTTATTTGATCAGAAGGAATTGAATATGAGGCAAAGGAGGTGGTTAGAGCTTTTGAAAGATTATGATTTTGGTTTGAATTATCATCCGGGTAAGGCAAATGTGGTGGCCGATGCCTTAAGTCGAAAGTTGTTGCACATGTCTACATTGATGATGAAAGAATGGAAACTTTTGGAGAACTTTAGAGATTTGAGTTTGGTTTGTGAAATGATGCCGAGAAGTGTGAGACTTGGTATGCTTCGTATTACAAATGATTTTCTTGCAACCGTATGTGAAAAGAAAAAGTTGGATCTGAAGTTCGTTGATTTGATGACAAATGAGAATGAGGATTTTAAGGTTGATGATTTTAGAGTTTTGAGATTTCATGGTCGTATTT